TCTGTGACAAGTTGGGCATGATTGATATCTATGCCCCAACTTGAGGGGGAGTGTTGACAGATGTATTGTATGTACTGTACACAGGTTTAGTGCCCGCAGGGGTATTTTTGTAATTTTGTAGACCTCTTGTGTTGTACGACCAGTATAGTATAAATACAAATGCTTCACTCGCATGAAGCAGTTCTTTTGAGGCCTTAAGTCCAGCCTCTTCTCTTCTCCTTCTTCTTCTTCTTCCTTCCTTCCTTTCTTCTTCTTCTTCTTCTTCTTCTTCTTCTTCTTCTGCTCAACAGTTTCCATTATAGTTATAGTTTGCTATTTTCATATGCTGTCACATTTTTTGTTGTTGTTATTGTTAATCAGCTGATGCAGGAGTCTTGTGTTGTAAGATGGAGCTGAAAGTGCAACCACACTGAGAGCATGGCATCCAGCAAAACATCAGGAACATCTCCCCATGAAATTAACATACATGTATGGGAGATGTTCCTGATGTGTGGCTGGATGCCATGATCTCAACATGCTCACATGCTTTTTTCTTTCAGCAGATCTGGGCTTGTATTGTCGGATTAGTGAAGTATTTGGCCACTTACATTTATTTCATAACTGGAGGTTACCAACTCATTTTCCTGATCCTTGCTAAGTTAAACATTTTGGTAGATAAGACATGGGATTTGGCTGAATTCCTGATAAATACTGGTTCAAGAAGAATTACAAATCACACATATGTGCATTTTGCATAATTCACAGGAAAAATTCATTTATCTATCTAGTTGCTCAGTTATATCAATATGATGTAAATTCTTTAAGCATTTTAGCTAGCTATCTGTTTGTTATAGAAACCAAATCTCAAAGCTTATGTTTTCAAACATGTTCAATAGACATACCCTCCCAAATTTGAATTCCGAATATGAAATAATTTGTATATTTTCTTTCTCGATACTGCTATTTTCCACATTTGCACGTTGCACCATATTCAATTCAATATCCAACCAAAAGAAAGGATGTAATTATTTTGGAAATTATAATCCATGACCATAGAAGGATTTACTGATTCAGTGTGGTTGGTTGATGAAATGCAAGGTAGAGGCCCTTTCTTATCTCCTTTAAATAAACTCCTCTGATTTGCAATCACAGAGAATAACGCTTGAAATTTCTCTATAACTTGAGATCTTATACAGTCTGACTAGTCTTATGAGATTTTCTATGAATGAATGAAACTACATAATCCCCCATTTAGAACTAGTGGATTTTCATGAAAAAGTCACCAAGGAGGTGCCACCAGAATTCCTTCTCTGTCGTTGTCTCTTTTATTTAAAGGCCATCATGGTTTTCTCCACAAGTTCAAGTTTGCTTTTCTGAAGACATACTGATAGAGGCAAGCACAATATGGTTTTGGACCTTTAGGTGCCAAATGTTCTTTAAATATTTTTTCTATGATGTTGACCATTATGTTTAAGGAAATCAAAACTGAGTACATATATAAGATTGCTACAAGTGGATAGGATGACCACTATGACAAATATTTACTTCTAATACCTCTAATAGCTAAAGGATCTATTGAAAATATTCCAAGTGGTTCTCCTACCAATACATGAAAAACCTACTTGGTTCAAAGTCAATGATTTCTGTTGATCTACTCCAGAAAAATGTGCTTTTGTGTAAACTTCAAATACTGATCTCTCAAAAAAACTATGAACTCAAATACAGTTGCATCATGCCAGACTCATAAAAGAATAGTTGCTTTGTACCAGGCAAACAATTTGGCAAAGTCTCTACCGGATACCTCCAAGGGAATCTCAGTACATTTATTTGCATCTGCACCATTACTTTATGACACATTTATTAACCATAGTAAGAGTTAAGAAAGTAATATTTCCTAATCCAAATAGAAAAAAATCCCCAAAATAAATTTCTTAAGATAATGGAAATTCTATTCTGTTCAATTTATTGTAACTGTTACATTATACCTGTGGATACACTGTATAGCTGTTGCTTGATGATTTATAATACATACATGATAGAACGCTTCCTCCCACAAAAGAAGAAAAACAAGAGGAAGAAAGGCTATTGCGTAGTCTGGAACTTCTGAGTCAACTGTACAATGTTACCATATATCAGTATGAAGTTTGTTTCTGGCTTGAAATTCTAAGTTTGAGAGGGTTGTAGGAAGCATCATGATTCCAAAGAAACCCAATAACTTGTCATACATAAGCTCATTGGAGTACTGATGATACGTGACCATTCCCATTTTGTCTCTTCTATTTGTTTCAGCTCTGCCAACTGCCATGAAATAGCATTATTAGATGTTGCTTGCTTTCCTTTATCCTTGTTTTACAGGAATTTAAAATATATTATCTTAAAAATTTCTATGGAAGTGATTCCAAAATCTCCACTTTGTCAAACCATTAAGATAGAATTATGTCACTTTAAAAAATTATAGAGTAAATGGTCCCAAGTAATAGCAGTGGAAACTGTGGAATATAGAAAATGCATCCATGACAATGCTGAACTTGTCCGCATCTTTCTTATGTGTTAGCAGTGAGAAAAATATTTCAGACAAAAAAAATTGTAGAAATCATTCAAAATTTTGAGAAGGTTTTGCTGATTTAACAGAAACATGAAGTAAGTATGAAAATCAGATATTTCATTATGCATTGATTTAATCTCAAGTCCGGTTGAACTTCCATTCTGTTTCCTGTAAGAGTAGTTGCAGGCATCTAACATTTCTTATGTTGGTGTTTGATAGAAAAGGAAATATGGCTTCTCATTTTTTGAGATGTTATGGGAAAGTCATACTTATTTATGAATAAGATTTATATCACTTACTCTTCCATCTTTTAATTCAAAGATCACTGAATCTTCAGAAAATGGAACCGGTCGTATTGATGTCACCTGTTAAGATCAAGATATCCCTTCAATAATAGTTTCAAAAGATTCTACTGAAATTAAACAAAACAGGTTGCTACTGACCTTTGCATCACACTTTATGTTATCATTTAGGCTTTGGGTGTTCTCCTCAATGCTAGACATAATTTCTTCATTGATGCATATTTCATCATTTATATATTTTGCTCCCATTGATATTTGATCTTTGACAGACATATTTTCCATAGAGGGGAAACCATAGTTCTTCCATTTCCATGTATTATGGTCCAGGTATCTTAGATAAACTTCACCATCAGAGCCAATCAAAAACAATTGATTACCTTCAAAGCAGGGTCCTGGTGCACCAACTAGAGTTACACTTTTGTGTGGTGTTCCATGTTCCACCCAGTTCCATCGATCCAATGCATTCCAGTGATATTCAATAAGTCCTCCATCTTCTGAAATCATGAATAGAGAGCCCATTAGAGATAGAGATGATGACCTCATAGCAGTTCCAGGCAGCCCTGATAGAACTAAATGTGGGGACTGATAGTGTTCATGCCATAACTCTGTTACTTTATTGTACTGGTATAGCCGACCATTCTTCCCAACAACAAACACTATATTTTCACGGAACCCTTCTTGATCTACTATACATGCAATTCTAGTATTTGGAGGATTTTGGCAGTCTTTCCACTTGAACTTTCGCAAGGCAACCTATAAAATAAGTCAGTTTGTTAGCAAAAAAGTGTATGATAAATGGATCTTAGGTTAGTATTGTTGAGTGCATTTTAAAAATATATTCTTATGTCTCACAAAAAGTATATAGTATGTTTCCTTAAACGTAAATGGTCCAGTTGATCTACTCTTTATATTCATTTCTGACAACTTACTATAAATTGAATTAATCTTCCACTTTTGCTCACAAAGAAGAGTGCATCTTCTTCTGTAACTTTAAAATTTCTTCCAGGAATTTTGTCCCATGGAGGGCCTGCAATCACTTGTTTTCCCTTTCTCATGGCAGTGCAATTAATCCATGCTAGCTCATTGCTGCTTCTTTCTCTCATAAGTAAGTTCCCATGCATGTCTATAAGAAACAAGCTTCCATTGTAGTTTCCTACTGCACCTTTCATAATTGTTGAGTGCTCATGTTTCAGCCACAACCATACACTCTCAGTGTATAGATATTCATAAGTTGAACCACTATCTGTAATGAGGAAAAATGATCTGCCAGCCTGCATTACTCGCATGTGGAAATTTGCATTGGTTCTGTTTATTAGGAAATTATTTTGGTCTGAAGACTTGGTGAGGTTGCTTTCTGATGTACTTGGAGATAGGTAACTTTCTTGTGCTTGGATCCCCTTCCTCCTCCTTGCTGTTGGCCTTGTAATGCCAGAGTCATTTGGCTCATCTTTTATGCCTGTGATGCAATTTGAGGGCCCCCGTTCTTCTGTGCAATACTCTGCATTCCAACCTTCAGTTTCTGGGGCTTCTAAAACTGACCATTCATAATTGAATGATGCCTTTTTTCGTATGTTACTATGATGATTTGGGCCTGCACTTTCACCACCAATTCCAGGTAAATGCAGTTCTGCAAGTCTACCATCATGTAGTGGGAACACTATCCTGCCAGCTTGCAATTGTAGGCCTGGAATACCTCTTGCAGCTTTTGTATGAGGTGGATGCATGTGATTCACCCATTGACCTAGAATTTCGTTCCCCTGAATTGTACCTGTCTTGCAATAGAAAAACTACATTTAAGGCATAATTCACTTCCATCTGAAAATGAATAAGAAGTATTATTAAGAGAAGTGATCGACTTTCAAATTCAGTAAGCTGTTCGAGAGTTAATATGTCATTGCTATTATATTCATGTCTCTGGTTTTGTTTTGGCAAGTACAAAATGTTGTCAATAATGATCAAACTTCTCTTAGACATGATAGAATTGTAATTGTATTGTTATGGCCCTTCTAATAATGAATTGAAAATTTAAGGTTTCTAGCCGATGTTTTAATCATTTAATTGTATTGTAAATCATATAAAAAACTAAATCAAATCTAATAGTGAATCATATCTGAAATTGCAAAATCATTTCTTTTTTTACTAACTTGTCAAAAAAATAAGAAATAGATATACTTAAAATCTAACTGTACATAGACAAAAGATTTTACCCTATTTTTAATACATATCTTCCATACATTACCTAAAACAATAGAGTTTACCACTTGTACATGAGAAGCCTTGGACTGTCAACAGGTAGTGGTTTGGGATAGGTTAATACCAGTCCCAAACTGATTATTAATTGGTTCTATACAATAGACCCAGAATGGTTGTTGATTATTAATTGGGATAATTGGGTCTGAGCCAATTAGGCCCAATTATACTAACATCTATAAATTAACTACGTGAGTAACAAATGAAAACTTCATTTTTTGTAATATAACCTTAATAAAAATGAAGGTAAAATAGTAAGCTGTTTATATGTTGATAAATCAAGTATTTTTAACCAAAATCATCTTATATTTTGTATATCATATTTACCCTTTTAGATGTAAAATATAATAAAAGTTACAAGAAAACGAGGAAACCTTTATATATTATTAGCTATTTACTCAGTTCAGGTTTTAATCAGTTTGAAACAGCAAGAGCCGGTCCTGACCCAATTATTAATCGGGACAAAATCACAGAACCAGAACCGATATAATCGGTTAGGTTTGGTTGGGTAGATCCGTCCCATTGACATAGAAAAGCCTAAGATGATATAATCAAGCTCAACTTGAAGGCCAAATAATCCACGTACAATGGCTCTTTAACCTACATATGATGGAAAAAAACTCAATATGGTTTCTAAAAGGTCTTAAAATAACATAAATAAATCATTTTCTAGTAGTGAAGTTAAAACAATTCTTCCGTCCCTTGACTAAAGTTCAAAGGAACAAAGAAATGACAAAGTAGAGAACTAATTCTAATTAAATTTATTTGAATTGCATGAACTGTGAGATTCATGAATCAAATTTCAAGATTTACATGTAGAAAAGGATTTAAGCATAAGATTCAAATAAAAAATTGTTTCATAAAGTCATAATATTTTGACATCTATGTTTCTAGAAATCTCTTGTATTTACAAAGGTGCAACACCTCTCCTTGATGACAGTGGTCAGATTCTGCCATCTCCCCAAGACTTTTGATCCATGAAACTTTTAAGAAGCAAGGTTGGGATAATGAAAATTATTCTAACCATCCAAACTTTCATTACAAAAAATATTAAAACTGCATACCCCCATTATTTTCCACTGTATATGTGCATACCAAAAGAAGGTAAAAGCATCGGATGTTCAATTATCTAGCTGAAAGAGACTAAACACAATAAAGGCAAACTGAAATATAGCTATTTTAGTCAGTAGCCTACAAAGATTGTTTCATTAAAATGGGATAGAAGAAAAACAGCCTTTTGAGAAGAAATGACTGTTTAGAAAGTTGCAAAAATTCAAAAGAAAGTAGCAGAAATCAGATTTCAAGAGGTGAGAAGAAGAAGAAGAAGGTGGTGGTAACTAGGGTTCAGAGAGAGAGATTTTCGAACATAATCTCCTCTCTTACTCCCTTAATTCTATTTCATTAAGTTAAACTTTAGTAATTTACAGAGAGGCCCCTAGTTGGACAGGAAATTAAAAAACATAACATAAGAAAGAATAAAGCCCAGATTAAGGCCCATTACAACAAAGAACATAAAAGATAAAAAAGATAAACAGCCTATGGGCCATTCGGCCCATCTTCTCTACACTCCCCCTCAAGCTGATCATAGATGTCAATCATGCCAAGCTTGCCAGTATCATGCTGAAGTTTAGCCTTGGGAATGCCCTTGGTAAGGAAATAAGCTAACTGTCCTTCAGAGGTGATGAAAAGTAGACACGCTTCTCTAGAAGCCACCCTTTCTCGAATGAAGTGTTTGTCAACTTCAATATGCTTAGTTCTGTCATGTTGCACTGGGTTGTGAGCAATGTTGATGGCGGCCTGATTATCACAATATAACATCATTGGCTTATCATGCTCAATACCYAGTTCCTCCATCAAGGATCTAAGCCACAGTAGTTCAGAAACTCCATGAGCCATGGCTCTATATTCTGCTTCGGCTGAAGATCGAGTAATAACTAATTGTTTCTTACTTCTCCAAGAGACAATATTACCTGCCACCAAGCTACAGTACCCAGAGGTAGATCTTTTGTCATCAATGTTTCTGGCCCAATCAACATCTGTGTAGGCTTCAAATTTCATATGGCCATGCTTAGCAAATAGAATTCCCTTTCCAGGGGAGCCCTTCAAATAACACAGAATCCGTTCTGCTGCTGCCATGTGAGTATCCCTGGGAGCATGCATGAACTGACTGATGCAACTGACAGCATATGCAATGTCTGGCTGAGTCATGCATAGATAGAGAAGTTTTCCAAGTAGTCTCTGGAAGACTCCCTTATCTTTTAATAATATTCCATTTGAAGCAGAGAGTTTATGGCTCATATCAATAGGAGTAGCAACTGGTCTAGCACCCATCTACCCTGTTTTAGAGAGAAAATCAAGAACATACTTTCTCTGAGAGATAAGGATCCCATCCTTGGATCTAGCAACTTCTATGCCAAGAAAGTATCTCAATTCCTCTAGATCTTTGATCTCAAACTTGGTATGAAGGAAAGATTTGAGATCATTAATCCTTGATACATCATTATAGTCACAACAATATCATCAACATACACAATCAGGTAAACGGCCAAGGATCCTCTCCTCTTCACAAAGAGGGTATGATCAGACTGTGTCTGTACATAGCCAAAGCTAACAAGGGCTGCCCTAAACCTTTCAAACCATGCTCTAGGGGACTATTTAAGTCCATAAAGAGATTTCTTCAGCTTGTAGACCTTTCCTTTTATATTTGTTTCATACATCCCTGGAGGAAGAGACATATAGACCTCCTCATGTAACTCTCCATTCAGAAATGCATTATTTACATCCAATTGATAAAGTGGCCAGTCTGAGTGTACAACCAGAGATAGCAGAACTCTCACAAAAGTCATCTTGGCAACCAGCCTAGCCTTGTACCTTTTAATGGTGCCATCAACATAATATTTGATAGTAAAAACCCACTTACAGCCTACTGGATCCTTTCCTTCAAGCAAATCAACCACTTCCTAAGTGTCATTCTTGTGCAGGGCATCAATTTATCTTCTCATAGCATCCCTCCATTCTGGAATAGTAAGAGATTCTGACACAAACATGGGAATTGGATTGGAAGCAACAAAAGAAAGGTAGGCAAAATATGAAGGAGAGAGCAAACTGTAGGAAAGATGTTTGGAAATGCAATGTGCAATACACTTCCTTTTTCCTTTCCTAATAGCAATGGGGATATCAAGGTCTGGGAAGGATGGCTTCAAAGGGGCTATAATAGTACCTGTTGTCTCTTTTGTAACTGGAAGTGCATGAGGCTCATGTGTTGTAGGGGAAACAATCTGCTCATTTCTGGTTCTCTATCGTTGGTACAACCTGGGATTAAAAAGAGGGTGAGAATGTAAAGGAGGAGGGATAGGAACACTGGAATGAGAGTGAAATGACTGATCCTCCCTTGACTCATTTGAAGGAGGAAGAGTCTCAGAAAAAGACTCAACTGGGACTGGAAGGGGAAGAGCAAACAATTGTGACAAATTCTCCCCCTTTGGACAATGTCTTTCCTGAGAAGAACCATAAAAGGAAGAGAGCTCATCAAAGGTGACATCCATTGAGACATATCGAGTGCCAGTCTTCGGATCAAAACAACAGTAACCCTTCTGTGTAAGGGAATAACCAAGGAAGATACACTTGTGGGCTTTTGGTTCAAATTTATGTCTCTGGACACTTGGGATATGTACATAACAATTGCAGCCAAAGACACGAAGAGGAATAGGAAAAGGATCCTTGTCCAAATGAAGAAGACTGAAGGGAGACTTAAACCCCAAAACCCTGGATGGCATACAATTTATAAGGTAGGTAGCAGTGAGAACAGCATCACCCCAAAATTTTGTAGGGACATGTGAGGCAAATAGAATACTTCTTGCAACTTCAACAATATGTCTATTTTTCCTTTCAACAACTCCATTCTGTTCTAGGGTCCTAACACAGGAGGTTTGGTGAATAACCCCCAAATTAGTGAGATAGCAAGTCAGGTTTTTCTCAAAATATTCTTTTGCATTGTCGGATCTGAAAATTTTAATTCTGGTATCAAACTGGGTTAGGACAAATTCATGGATTTGCCTCACAAGTCTGGGAACTTCATCACGGGACTTCATAAAAAATATCCAAGTGAACCGAGATAAGTCATCAATGAACAAGATAAAATATTTGTATCCACCCATAGAAGGTAAGTGGTAAGGCCCCCACACATCAGAGTGCACAATATGAAAAGGAGAAGAAGATCTTTTATTACTTAGTGGATAACTGTTTCTACAATGTTTTGACAGTTCACACGACTCACAATGAAGACTGGACAAACTAATTCCCTTAAACAGTTTTGGGAATAAATGACTTAATGCAGAAAAAGAAAGATGACCCAAACGAAAATGACATAACATGACTCGACTGATGGACTCTGTAGATGTAGACCCAAAAGCAGTTTTTCCAGGTTGTTCATGGCACTGTCTAGGAGTATCCAACAGATATATTCCATTTGCCTCACGGCCACTCCCAATCACCTTCTGAGACTCTAGATCCTGAAAAACACAATAGGAAGGAAAGAAGGTTACACAACAGTTTAAGGACTTAGTTAGGCTACTTACAGATAAGAAGTTTGCATTTAGCCTGGGTACATGAAGAGCAGAAGGAAGAATCAAGGAATCTGTAGCCTTGATGGTTCCCTTGTCAGAGATAGGGGCAAGAGAGCCATTGGTTAGGGTGATTTTGTCATGTCCAGGAAGTAAATCATATGAAACAAACAAAGTGGAAAGGCTGGTCATATGATCAGAAGCACCAGAATCAATAATCCAAGGGATCCTACGATTACCTGAAATGGTTGCATGATTGGCAGAAGCCCGTATACCTGAGTGAGCAAATGCAGAAGAGGTTGAATTTCCTAGAGGGTTGGAAGAAGAGGTCACACCCTCTAGGTGGATGATCATCCTCCCAAACTTCTCATATTCTGCCTTCATAGCTGCTAACTGCTCACTAGCCATCATCTCTTCAGTTTGGTATTTGTCACTATCTGGACCACCAACTACATTGGCACTCCCTGCCTTTATATTATTAGACTTCTTTTGAAACCGAAGAGGAAGAAGCTTAGGATGCAATTTCCAACACTTGTCTTTAGTGTGTTTTGGCTTTTTACAGTACTCACAGATAATCTCTTTCTTCCCTGAGCTACTTGGAGTTCCTGCAACTCCCTTGGGTTTCACTCCCATATTAGCAAAGTGATCATTTAGACTAGCCCCTTGGACCTGGACAAGTCTTCTGCTTTCTTCACTACTTACCAAGGCATATGCTTGAGACAGTGAAACACTATCCTTGGATAAAATATTTTGCTTTGTGATGTCATACTCTGGATTGAGCCCTGTTAAGAACTCAAACACCCTGTTTCTCTCAACCAGTTTCCTGTCAGCATCATTAGTGGTGTCCTAGGCTACGACTTCTATCAAATCTATTTCTTTCCATAAAGACTTTAGTGTTGAGAAGTATACAGCTAATGGTTTATCCCCTTGTCTCAAATTCTTCACATCACTTCTCAACTTGTAAACCCTAGCCACATTTAATTTTTAGGAATAGGTTTCAGCAACACTATCCCAAATTTCCTTTGCTGAATTCATCCACAAATAGTGCTGACTAATCTGTGGTTGCATTGAGTTCACAAGCCATCCAATAACAATATAATTTTCTTGCATCCACTTTTCATATGATGGATCATCTT